GGTGTTTTGATCAAATTCATGCCCACTCCCTCCTCTCCAACTCCTCCCATAACTCCTCATCATTTTTTCTGATAACTTCATGTATTCTTTTTTTTTTTTTTAAATGGGGCTTTTTGCTATTCTCACATTCCCCCCTCTGGAAAGGTAACCCTAAAATCTTTTAGGAATTAGATGAAAGCTCCAAAATACTTTTGACATTTTTGGCCTTTGGTTCAGAGTATGTTGCTAAGAGGCCCAAAGACATTTTGACTTTTAGCCAAGAAACTGGCTACTTTTCTTTGAGGACTTTTTACCATAACTGCCTTTCCAATTCCTACCTCCTATTCTTATCACACCATCCTCTGTAGAGGTTATCCAGCTTGTGGATAGGGAGTCGGGACACAGACCGCTCTGGTTTCTTCCATGCTGAACAGGGATGCTTGTGAGGCAATTGTTGTACCTCTTGAGTGGGTCTGTCTAAAAGACTCCCAAATTGCATAACTCTTATCTGTAGGGTGAAAAGAAAGTCCTTAATTGGTGAACAGGAGACATGAAGGAGAAGTAAAGGCAAGAGCAGTTAGCATTACAAACCAGAAACAAGTCAGAACTGGACAAATTTCAAATGTTCATATCAGAGTCCATTGGGATTTCTTAATGAGAGCTTCCAAAAGCACCCCTCTGTTAGGTTCCTCTTCATTTTCCTTTTGTCTGCCAAGGCTTTACTTGCGAGTGATAGACCCAGGATTTGTTTTCAGGCACTCTGATAGCTGTTGGAGTGGCTATAATCAGTGTCAGTTCCCTCTCAAAGGCTTCTAGATAGGAGGAGAAAACAAATTTAGCCATCATTTTAGAACAATACTGGGTTGTCTCCCTTAGCGACAGGTGGGCACTACAGTATGGCAGACCAAGATTTACATTTGAACAGCACTCTCTGCTTAGAAACAAACCTATGAGGCACAGGCCTGTAGTCCCAGCACTTTGGAGGCAGAGGCAGGCGGATCTCTGTGAGTTCAAGGCCAGCCTGGTCTACATAGTTAGTTCCAGGCCAGCTGGGGCTTCAGGGAGACCCTGTCTCAAAAAGACCTAAATAAATAAATAAATAAATAATAAACAAACCTAGAAGACAGAGCGCTACTACTGAAGGCTTCAGGAGAGTGCGCTATACAGAACTGTGTCTTAGCAGGACATTAATTTTTCTTTTTGTCACTCACATTTTGTGAGTTATTTAGATGCAGGATTTTCCTTTTTAAGCACTAATATAGAAAAAGAAACCCCAGAAAAGACAATAAAAATTTAACAACATTTAATTTTAACTGAGGTAATCATTATTTTCTCATCTTTGTTTATCTGCTTTTTTGTTGATTACTTTTGTGACATTTTATTTGCAGGAAACTAAAAAGCATCAGAATTCAAAAGTAAAGTTTGAGAAAGAAAATTGAGAGAAATTTGCTACATTCTTAAATATTTGTGTTCTGTTCCTTTGGCTAAATTAACTACAGCTGATCCCTCAAAGGTGAATCTAGAAATGAAAGAATGCCACGGTTTTCCTGGATTTTCTCTTGAAGTCAGCACACACATGGTCATGCTGGGGCTGGTATAAGTGTTCATTGCCCTCCACATTCAAGTGGATAATCAATAGATTTTTCATTTTGCCCATGGGATAATACAAGTCTGATGAAATAAATTTCTGTTGTGATGCTTATACGAATCATAGACAACTTAGCAAGCAAAGAAAGAACAGGCATTCCAGCAACATTTATTCGTAGTTCATCCAATGTCATAACTGCCATTAAAATTTTCCTATCATTTGTCCTTATTTATAATACTTTGTAATATGCTTCTGTCAGGTAGTTCCATCACTAACAAGTTCTTACATTGTCCCTACTTGTTTTTGAAGATGGAAATATTATGATTAAGAATTATAATCTGGCTAGTGATTTTGAGTTTCTCCTGGCTACATATTGCATTTTAATTTATACTTCACTAGAAAACTCTAGAAAGATGTTACTCTCTCTCACTTAATACCAGAGAAGGATGCTGAACACTTTGTCCAAGATGACATATTTATTAAGTGCCTTGGCTCTTTCCAAATCTTTGCATTTTTCAAAGCTTAGTTTTTGTATTTATTTCATTTTTCTACCTGGAAACATTGTTTAAAGATTTATTTATCCTCATTTAATGTATATGAGTGTTTTCCTGAGAGTACGTATGTGTACCATGTATGTCTGGTGCCCATGGAAGACAGAGAGTGTATCAGATCCCTGGAACTGGAGTTACAAATGATCGTGAGATACTGTGTGGGTACTGGGAACTGAACCCAGTACTCTGCAAGAGCAGTCAATGCTCTTAACATCTGATCCATCTCCAGCCCCATGGAAACAATTTTGATGGTGGTCCTCAAATGAGGTTTCTAACTCCATTTTTCCAAGTTGCTAAATATTTTTTCCATCACCAGATTTTAAAAAATCCCTCCTTCTCCCTTCATTTTGTTGCATCTTGACTGAATCAATATCAAACAGAAATTTTTTTGTAAGAAACTTGCAAGATCAGGTGGTCTTTGTACTATAAGCTGATATTTCCAGCATAAAGACCCTTGTTTTAGAATATATTAGCCATTTTATCTGAAATTGAAGTTCTTGTTTACAGTACAAAAGTTGCAACTAGAATAAAAATACTTACATTGAAAAGGTTATATTATATAATATATATTATATAATATATTGATATATTATATCAACCTAGTAGTCTTTAAATTATTTTCTTGTTCAATAGATGTATGTTATTCAAGATTAAACTAATTGATACTTTAATATTTCAGAGATTATTTAGAAGAAAATGTAAAGTTGCTTTATCTATATGAAAATTAATTGGATTTTCTTTTGTTTTCTCTGGTATTAAAGATGAACCATTGTGGAACTCAGGTCCCCATCTGGCTGTCTCTAAGTCATTCAGAGACACTGCCTCTTCCTGGAGAGATCAAACAACTGACAGCTTGTGCCACTTGGCAGTTTTTGCTTAGCACTGAAAAAGACTGCTGCCTCTTTCAAATCCCAGTGTCTGTTCGAAACTGTGGGAATTTTTTTGTGTACTGGCTACAACCCACTCAGGGATGCATGGGATATTGTGCTGAAGGTAAGGAAATATCAATATCTTTGAATTGCTAATCACAGAACTGTGTGCATTTGTGCTGTTCTCTGGATAGGTTCTCTGGATATTGGGCTAATGCAAATCTCAGAAGAAGACTTGTCCTATCAGAATTGCTAAATTAAAGATAAATTTCCAGTTAAATTGGCTAGGTTTGTTTAGGAGTCTTTGCCAACATCTTAAAATGCGTTCTGCTGTGAAAATATCTCAGAAGACTTACTGCTCATTATGACTGAATATTAAGATTTTTTTTTGTTTCTTCTTGCCCTTTCCCTTTCTAATTAAGAGATGAGGGATACTAAGCAAAAAGCATGAAAGTATGGATTTTGTATTATTTTATCTTTCATTGAGAAAAAATTCTTGAGAAAATTTCTGGAGCCAGGAATGTTTTGCCACCCTGGGGTTGACCACTGTGATTAACCAGGTGAACGTGATCTCTTCTGGTAGAGTACCTCAACCAAGGTATAGAAATAAGCTGGAGATAACTCAAGGCACAGAATGAATATCCATGAGTTCCTGATGCATGAATACACATTTAGAGGACAGGAGGCAAAGTTTCCTTCAAGAAGACTTTCCAGTCATATTTACAATATACCTCAGTCTGAGCAGAGTGCTTGCCTAGCACACACACAAACCTAGCGTCAACCTTAGAACTGGAAAGTAAATTAAACAAGAACAAACCAACAAAGATCAGATCCTATGTGTAGCATCTATTCCACCCAGAACATTCCCTTCATTTTGATTGTAGTCTGGACTTTGTGACTTGCTGCAAGTAATGGTGTATGGAAAAATAAAATGAAATAGTGATTTCACAGTAGAGAGAACTGGCAGATTCTACTTATAATCATTAGCACCACGAGCAACAAAACGGGAGGTCATCATACATTGCCTGAGAGTAAGCAGTTAGAAAGACACCAGACTTGGATCATTCTTCTCCAAAGATGAATGCTTTAGCTTAATTATGAGAAAATTAATATGAATCCAAGCTAAGAAACACTTTAGATAACAAATGAATAGTATATTTCAGAAGTATAAAGATTATGAAAATCAGAATGGAATAAGAAGCAGTCATAGAATGAAGAAAAACACTGACTCTTGAAATGAATATGGAACAGAAAAGGACATCAGAGGAAATTTTTTGGTTTATTAAATAGTGCAATCCTAAGGTCAATTATTTCTCAATTTCAACAACTATATCGTGGTTTTATAAATATATTAACATCTGTACAGGATGGATCAGGGATATGTGTACCGGGGAAATCTCTGCACCTTTATTAAAAACTAACTTTGATGTGAATCTAAAATTAGTTTGAGCTAAAGTGTTTATCACAAAAATTATTTTTGAAATTAATGAGTTATAAATTAAAGAAAACTGGTCAGTACAGTAGGAGTGGACTGTGCGGGCCTGCGGCCTTTAGACAGTAATTGTGGAAGTGCTCTCACAGCTGGTAAAGCTGAACTGACACCTGAACGAGTTGAATAAGGCAGGCACAAAAGGATATGATAAAGAAGTAGTCCCAGTAGAAAGAGAAGCAAACGCAGTGCAGTGTGCTTAGGTTTGAAGAGGGCAGTTCAAAGGAACTGATGGAAAGAGGAAGGAATCGAGTAAAGGAACAGCCCAGATGAGTTCAGAGAACTGGAAAGTGACAGAGCTGTAGGATTGGCAGTTAATTTTAAGAACTTAGATTGATTCAGAGCCATGGTCTTGGGGAATTTTTAAACAGGTGAATAATGGAATCTGAGGACTATATGGTGAAGGTATTATTCCTAGAAAAATTGCTACAATAATTCCATAGAGAAGTGCTCATGGCTTACAAAGGACAGGGTAGAAATGACTTAGACTAATGGCAAAGGAAAGATGGCACTGAGCTTAGATGTTGTTTACAGATAGAGTACACATAAATTCCTTTACCTGTATGGGTTGTTGGAGTTGTGATTATAAGGCAAATCAGAGTTGAGAGGACAAAATATGTGAAGTCTGCCTTCATGCCATGGATTATTCATGCTTTTGTTAATTGCAATTAAGGTATGAATGGAAAGAATACGAATTGCTATGGAAGAGAATACTGGAGGTAAGAGAAGAATGCCATTTATAGTCAGGAGCTTTTAGTGAAAGCCTCTTTGGAAAAGATGGTATTGATGCTGAGAGCTGGAAGGCATACAGTGTGAGCTCAGTATCAACAAACAGCAACAGAAGGTGGCAAACACTAAAGGGATGAGTGTGATGTACTCACAGTGACAGCAGAACAGAAACATTGGGTGCCTGTGAACAAGAGTGCAGGAAGAAAGGGACAGAAACACTCATGGCAGGGCAGCAGTGCTGGTCACTTGTGGAGCTTTGTATCTTGTTTCCTCTGATTAAATGGAGAAAAGAGAGTTCTAGAAAAACTCACTTCAGATATGAAGGTGATGAGTTCACAGGCACAAGGGTCACAAACATAGCTGTGTATCATTCATCAAAACGAAGAGGAGCTATATTATTATTAGACAAAGTAGATTGAAATGTGAATATTACCAGGAAAACAAGTTTTCATGCCTCATGATAAAATATCAATTCCATAACTAGACATAACAATTCTAAATGACTGTACCAAAAATGACAAAAAAAAAAAACACACCAAACTCCAAAAATCCCAGTCACAATATATGATGCAAAACCGATAGGTCTTATATTCAAGGAGAAGTATATGTCTACAATTAATATCGGAGACAGTCAACCATCTGAATAACTGAATGTGTAAAAACAAAACCAGTAAAAATGAAGGAGAAGGAAACTAGACCTACTCTACCAATTAGCTTTGTTTAAATGACGTTTAAAGGTAATGCTACACAAGACAGTGGAATAAACCTTCTTTATGTGTGAATACACATCATTTATCATGGTGTACCACATTCTGAGCCCTAAATTAGGGAAAATGGATGTTATGAAAATGAAGCTTCTTAAAATTATCGCTCCTTAAAACATCTATAATGATATTTCACAAACCGAATATCTCAGCTTACACATTGAGACTGAAGACAGATAAAAGGAAATATCAGAATAGAAAAAGATAAAAATCTAATACATCAAAAGCTAGTTCTTTGAGCAACGCAGTAAAAGTTAACAATTCTCTATCCAATCTGATAGTTTCAAAAGATCACCTTGGGATCAGCAGTAAAGCTCAGATGGTAGACCATATGCTGAGTATGCAGAAAAGCCTGGATTCAAACCCCAGCAAAAGAGACAGAGATAGAGATGGTGATACAGGTAGAGAGACCCTGTCTCAAACAACAAAAATAACAAAAAAGAGAGAAGCGATACAACTGTATATTCCAGAGATAACATGAGAACAGCAGTATTATTATGAACAACTGTATATTAACATTTTGACAACTTAGATGAACTTGACAAATTTCTGAAAATATACAGGCAGCCAGCAATCAGCAAACTATCCCCATAGTTCTATGTCTCTTCAAGAAGTTATATTTCTACGTGAATGGTGACACATGCCTTTAACACCAGCACTCTGGAGGCGGAGGCAGGCAGATCTTTATGAGATCGAGGCCAGCTTGGTCTACATAGTGATTTCTAGGTCACCTGGTCACCCTGTTTTGAAAAAAAACAAAAAAAAAAAGAATTACATTTGTAGTCCAAATCCCTCTCAGAAGCATTATCCAAGGTCAAGATCATTTTGAGTGGGAACTTTCCAAACATACTCAGTGGAAATATTACCAATTTCATGGAAGATCTTCTGGGTAAATGAAGATGACGGGTTACTCCTAAGCTTCTGTGAGGCATGTATAATTCAAAACTACTCTAAATATAGACACGCAGGACAAGGAAATTATGGAAACTTTAGGATGAAAATACTTATGATCTTTCCAGTACTCGGGAGACTGAGGCAGGAATATCACAAATTTGAGGTCAGTTTGGGCTACATAGCAAGGTCCCAGTCAGCTTCTGCTTCTAAATAAAACTACCTCAGAAGGGGAAAAACATTCGGCGTGTTGGCCTAAGCCTTTATTCCCAGTTCTCTGGGGGTAGGCAGGCAGATCTCTGTGAGATGGAGGTCAGTAGTGGGTAATAGGTCAGTCAGTTGGGGCTACAGGGAGACCCTGTCTCAAACAGAAAGAGAGAGAGAGAGAGAGAGAGAGAGAGAGAGAGAGAGAGAGAGGTGAGAATGAATTATGAGATAACATTACAAAGTTTCCAAACCAATAAACCAAAATTGTCTACAAAAAATATTTATAAATTGGACAATTATGAGCAAAACTGCTGTATATATCTGTGTTCACACTTCTTGACATTTGCATGTTTGCAATTCATTTTGGGTAAACACCAAGAAGCACAATATCTGTATGATGATAAAAGTATGTTTAGTTTTATATGAAGCTACCACATTGTCTTTCAACATGGTTATACCACTTTACAGTTCTACCAGAAATGAGAACTCCTGCAGCTCCAGCGCTCGATACTGCAGTGTGTGTCATTATTTAAAATGCAGACCCACATTTAGAAACAGGATAGGGACACTATAGCTGCTTCAGATCTTACCCTTAACGAGGAACATTTTCCTATGAAAAAGTAATCCAGAAAGAACACCTAAGAAAACCTTAAGTCTATATTAAAACATACTTCTCCAAGGAATTGTCCTCTTAGATATATGTGGATTTATACATGAATGTCTGTTTCAATAAAGATGCAAACCTTAACTTTTTGCAGCTATTTCTGATGCAAAGTTGCACCCATGTGGCCCTGAAGAAGTAGAAATTGGAGGTGGCTGTGTTCGTGCGTATAACATTTTGTTATTTCTATAATGTATTCATAAGCTAGTTGTCTCAGTATCTATTTTCTACAGTTGTAAATATTCAATTATGGTAATATTTTCCAATCTGATAGAAATTAACAGTAAGAGCAACTTTATTGTGCCTTTAGGAGATATTTCTGTTGACAAAAGTAGATAAAGAAATGTGTAAAGTCTGGCAGGGTCTTTCACTGAAAGTTTTCATAATGTAGCCCAGTGTTCATAAAAATCACATGTATCTGTGCCTACACTTCTGCTTCCAAAAAGTCTGCATTATAGAATCTCTCACGGAAGCCTGAAACACAATAATTACAATAATATTTTTTTCTAATAACATGAAAAATACTGAAATTTCAAATAAACCAGGTGCAGCAGTGCACATCTTTAATCCTAGCACTTGGGTGGATGAGGCAGAAGGATTGCTGTGAGTTTCCGGTCTCAGAACAAACAAGCAGACAAGCAAAATAACTCTGAGTTGCTTTTCTGCACTATTCCAATTGTAGATCAATTTTATAGCCTTCCTTCCTAGAATTTCTAGTATTAAACCATTATGGCATCCCAATTTATAATAATAAAATAATATTCCTTAATAGTTACAGTAATAGACATAAAATATTATTTAGCTACCATGCATAGTAGATAAGAATTTTCTTAATAAGGGATCTATATTAAAGTAAAATCAGTTTTCCTTCTTAAATAAATAATAAATTTCATCTGATGCTGGGGATAAATACCAAACTTCGACAGATGCTATAACTCTGAGATAAAGTTTGTTTAGCATGTGCAAGGCCTTAGGTTCAATCCTCCAAATCACAAAAATAAATGGGTAAAAATATTTATTTATTTACTTTACTTACTTAATTTAGCTATTTGCAATATTAACAATGCCTGTGCAATTATTTGAAAAAACAAGCTATGTAAAACTGCACGTATTTTGAATTAGCAACACCTGAATGATAAATTGACACGAATAGGGTCACTTGGCAAAGGTTTAAAGGGGTTTGTAAAATATTTGTATCTGTGCACACCTATAATCTCAGAACTTGGAAGGCCGAAGCAGAAGGATCCAGGATTTGTGTCTTGAAAGACCCTGTCTTTAAGATACCCAAAGATATGTCTAACAAAAAGTTTCTCAGAATTTTCCCAAGTCTCCGTGACAGAGCTGAAAGTTTACTTTCATGCTTGACACAATATAATAATTTATATAATGGAAAATTGTACATTTTAAAATATTTTAAAACATATTGCTAAATTTTATTACTCATATATTTATTTCTAAAACAAAACAAAAATCTTTTCAGATCTCTGGATTTAATTTTGAGAATACCTAGAGTTAAAAATTGCAACCTTGGGCTGGAGAGATGCTCAGAGGCTAAGAGCACTCTGTTCTTCTAGACGACCTGGATTCAATTCCCAGCACCCACATGGCAGCTAACAATTGTCTGTAACTCCAGTTCCAGGGGATTCAGCATCTTCTGGCCTCTGTGGGCATTGCACGACAGGGGTGCACTTACATGCATGCAGGAAAAACACTCATACACATAAAATAAAAATAAATAGATTAAAAAAAACTTAAAAACCTGCAAGCTCTTTATACAGTTCCTAGAGGAAATGGCAAACATATCTTTAGCCTCAGGAAAATGAAACAAATAAAACAATTGTTTATCACTTCATAGAGTTAACAGACAGCAAAACTACCACACACCAAAGAGCTCTTTCAACACAATAAAGCAAATCATTAAATTCATAATTGATTTAATATTACAGCGAATAGTTTTCTGTATAAAAAGGAATTGTAATGTATAATATCTGAGTTTTATTTGTTCTGTCTTTTAGAAAAGATGATCGCCTTAAAGGAGGCGAATCACTTTTCTTTCCACAAGCCTGGCTTTTCAAAGATAGCTGTCCAGCATGATCAGTCTAAGTGTGAACTACGTTTCTCTGCTATTAGTCAATATTCCTTATAGATAAAAAATGAGTATGTTCTTTTGTTGCATGCTTGAAAATCATCATTTTTTTCTAATCTTGCTATACTTTTTTTCTTAAAGTAAATCCCAAACTAACAATCTGTGGGTCCCTCTTCAATAAGGTGTTCTCTGTTCTTCAGGATGCCTGACTTACTTTTTGTGCATTTTCTCCCCCCCAGGCCAGCTGTCTGCTGTGTGGCCTCCTCCACCTCCAGGCAGGCCAGAGGTTGCTGTGGAGCTGGTTGGGTCCCAGCTGTTTTGTAGGTGTGCTTTTGCTGTTCCCCCCACAAACAACTCAGTGGGATTTCTTGTAGCCTGGTCTAGGCTTTCTTCTCAAGAAATCAAAGAAGAGCTGAAACAGGAGACCACCGTTCAGGCGTTCTCATTCTTAGAACTTGATGGTGTAAACCTTAGACTGGGAGACAGAGTAAGTCAGAAAACCAGGATTTTCTTTTCATGAAAGCATTGAATTTGATGAACCAGCTCCAAAATTTTAGGCAATATTTAAATACTTAGTTCTTTTCTCATTTACCAAAAACTGAATTAAGGATTTAAAGATAATAATTTACATGTTTCTTTGTCATGTTATTGCTCAATGATTATTTCTTAACTGTATTCATAGATATTCTGCAGCGCTTCCCTCTTTTTCTTGGAGAAACCAGATAGACAAAGCTTAGCCGTTGAAAGTGAAGAATTTTTTGCAGGAATTAAGGTATGTAGCAGTGAGTTGGAACTAGAAAGAGAGATTCTCTGGAACCATATTTCCTGAACTGTATCTGTTTGTGGTGGTTTCTGGATCTTATGAAAAACTGAGTCAGAAAGTCTAGACTGAATGGTCTGCCATTTTAAAGAGTAACCTGATAATTCTCATGCACAATAAAGCCTGTGCTCCCTGTGGATGGGCTGCATTGGGGATGTACTGGTGTGCCTTGTCTTGTGATGGCATTGTCTCCTACTAAATGCATCACACATTGAAAACTGTAGGAGTAAAAAAAATTTAATGCAAGTAACCTTCCAAATAGCATAGCTTAGCAACATAGCACACTGTGCAGAACTGGAAGTTTATCCTTCATAACTCCATGGTTTACTGGGAGCTGTGACTGGCTGCTACCACACAGAATCCTGCGAAAGTACATTATGGAATATGCTAGCTTCAGAAGAGATAAAAAATCAAAGAAAAATTTCTACTGAATGTAAAAATCTGTACCATGGTAAAGCAAAAATTCATTAAGTCAAGCTTTGTAAGTCAAGGACTTAGGTAAGGGTAGGGACTAAAGAAATAGCTTAATTGGCATAATGCATAGAATCTATTTTCATAATTCATTCTATTCTATAACTGAGAACTATCATATCAATATTTGGTGCATTTTTGAAGATGGGTACCAAATCAAGGTCTTGACTCAGAGTTCTGGGATTTATGGATTAACATGACTGAACTAACTAAACAACGCAATACTTTTTGTTATTGTTGGTAGTACTGGGTCTGAAGAATAGGAGTTATTCCAACAGATAAGCTGAAGTGATAGGGAGTCCTAAGCACTGGAAGGTGATAGGTGAGGTCAAGAGGTGGAAGCATGCAAATAGGCACCATGGGAGTTCTCACTCACAGAACTGGAGATTGCCTTGGAGTCATTCCTTGTTCAAAGACAAGATGGGAAATTGATCAATAGTGAGAGCAGGGCTTAGGACCAGGATAAAACTTTTGTCTAGAAAAAGTCCATGTACAGGAGACATATCCAGAATATATTTCTAAGGGGTAATTTTGAAAGCACATTTCCACAGGAGCTTAATGATTATGCTATTAAGCACACTTGGCAAACGATTAAGCTGTTGGGAAAGTGTGTTTTTAAAACTGATCCCTTAGAAATATATTCTATCTGAACTTAACTTGTGTATATTTTCTCATGCCAGTTAAAACCTGAACTGAGCACTATTTCAGAAGATGGGAAGGAATACCAGCTGAGCATAGAGAGTACAGTTCCTGTTATTTGTCCTGAATTTAGTGAGCTTGATCAAAGATGCAAAATCTCATTAATACTAAGAACCATTGAAAAAGGTAATATAATATATCCTCTTGGCTTATTACACTTCAGACGATAACTGTTGCTTGTTCTTCTTTATAAGTCCCTGGACTGCATGTACATAAAGTATTTTGCATGCTTACATCAGACTGTAGTTCAATCATATTAATGACATGATTTAAGATCAAGTTAATGATTGAGAGAGCAATTCATATTGATTCTTCCTGGGCTCAGATCTTGCTAGTGAACCTCCTTCTCTTCGTTGCCATTTGCCCTCTTTCTCTTCTCCCTCCATTTCTTTCTGATTGCTCTTCCCCTCTCTCCTCTGCCTCTTACTTACTCTTTTCAGAGACTTGGGGACAACCAGCTCTTTAAATTTTTCACTTCATCTTCAGCGAGGGAGGTGTGATGTGGTACTCAGATTTCAAGCTTATGAACATGGATCTCATAATGCATTCTATACACTTCTCTCCATTGTAAGCTTTGAGTGGAGTCTTTTGTCTTAGCATTTTTCCATTCAAATGAATAATTTCATAGATATCATGATGCATGATCAGATATATGGCAATGCAGAGAGAGAAATCTTCCTATGGAGCAAGATAGACCATTAAGAGAACAAATTGTGTATAGCAGTGGCTAGGTTGGTTGAGTTATTTTTCACAATTAAGCCTCTGATCAAAGCAAGGGATTTGCTGATTAAAATAGAACCTGTAAAAAGAGGCTATAGTACTGTTTACATAGGCTTAGAAAATATCTAACTGTTCACTCAGACTTCCAGAGGCCCATGAACATAAATATATTTGTATTTATAGCTCAGATCTCTCTGTCTCAGGCCCTTTAACACAATTCCACTTCAAGCTTCTTCTGAAAAGCACAGAGAGACCATATTGTTGATATTGTCTAAAACTGTGTTAAGCAAAAATTTCCTTTTATTGCAAATATGCTTTAAAATGTACTTTCATCCTCTCAATTCTTTTAATTAAGGCAAGTATTACTATAATAATAAAAAGACAGCCTCAATGTGTTCCTGTCTCTTAGAAGTTTGTGTGTTCTTATGTTTGTTGATTAAAAGTGGCTTTCTTTTTATCTAGATAGAAATTTCTGGTTTTCCCTTTTTGCATGTCTCCTGGTATCTCTTTAAGTGCACTACTATACAGTTTCTACTTTGACAGAGAGCAAGTTGTCTCTGTGTATTTCTACCCAGACTCAATGAGAATGACTTTGATCTTTACATCTTGAACTTGAGAAATAAAGTCCTGGGCAATATCTAAGCCAGAAATACTACACATCACCTGAGGGAACTGGTTAAAGCATTTGAATGTTTCCATTAATTTTATATGTATGAGAAAAGTATGCATTTCTAGAAAAATACATAAGGGAAAATATTTTTCCATGAATTATTAATCAAGTACAGTGTACCTATAAGTGATCATTATAATTTTGTTTCTAGAAAGTCAGACTGGGTGAGAGGAAGACAATGTTTTAAACTTAGTTCTTTCTTCTTGACTTTGCAGTCACTAGAGGAGTTTGAAAACATGCTCTTTTATAACCATTTTGGGGGAAATCTTTTTGTTCATAGGAAGAACAGAAATTATAAAATTAGTTATACATATTTCTAGAGTTCCTTCCTCATTGTTGGCTACTGTTTCCTTTCAAAATTCTTTTTCTTAGGGCTTGAGAGATGGTTCAGCAGTTAAGAGCACAGGCTGCTCCTTCAGAGGATCAAGGTTCCATTCCCAGCACCCACATGGTGGCTAACAATCCTCTGTAACTCAAGTTCCAGGGGATCTGATGCCCTCTTCTGACTTCTGTAGGCATTGCATGACATGGGTGCATATACCTACATGTAGGCAATACACTCATACATATAAAATAAAATAATAATAAAAAAAGATTATTTTTCTTATTCTTTGTTTCTTAAGTAAAGGAACAGTCAAATGTTCTGAATATATGGGACACTTAGGAGGTGAGATGAGGCTATTTATTCCTAATGACAAATTTCTTGGAACCACCTTTATTTGTTTTTTCAATTTGTTAAGAAGATAAACAATATATAAATAGTCAGCTGCCCATTTGTTAGAATAACAATCAAATTATGGTTCTTGGTATTGTGATTGCAGACAGGGATAGATTTTATTTTTTTCACACTTCGTTAGTTTTTAAAAAATGTTCATCATTTAAATGTTTTTAGACTGCATTGTGATATATCGATAGATGTATGTAATCTGTGTTGGTGAGCTCATTGTAACTAAAATATCTATAACCTTATCTTACCCTATACCATTTATTGCTTTTTAATTTTATCTATGTACATATTGAATTGTATTGTAACCTTATCAAAAATAATAATATGCATGTCTGTTATATGTGTATATATTCAAACAGTAACTGTGTATAAGGATCAAGTAGATTTAATGAATTATTTTAATTCAAACAATAACAATATTTTTAAGAAAGAAAATAAGAGTGATCTTTCAATTTCATGTTTTATATTAATGGAATTATTTTATGCTTTGTTTAGCATCTACCTGTAGAAAATTTTTTGAAAGTTTCTTTTCTTAAAATAGATAAAGAACATCTAGGTTTAAACTTGGCACTGTCTTCCTGTCATGTGGATCTTCACCAGTCATCATCTTGTGCCAATGGAACATGCAGTCACGCTGTGGTGTACTACACTGCTGTCATAGACATTTCCCAGGATGGAGAAAGAGTTACTGACATCGTAGTGGAACCTATAGTTCATGAAGATTTCCTGTGGAACAGCTACACTCCAGACAGTGTTCAGGTTGACAAATCACAAAAATAATCTTTGTAACTTAAGATTTTAAAAGATGCATATGTAATGCTATTACTTATGAATTTTCACTTAAAAATCATTTGATGAGGCTGAAGAGTTGTTAAGAGCACTTCTTGCTCTTCCAAGTTCAGTGTCCAGTACCCACATTAATCAGCTGACAGTTGTTGGCAACTCCAGCTCCAGAATCTGACTCCCTCTTTTGGCTCCAGAAGCACCTGCATGCACATGGTGTACACACACACACAGACACATACAATAAATAAATAAATCTTTAAAAAATTATTTGGTAAATTAATTTATTGTTTAAATGATTCTGTTTTTAATAACCATAGTTAAGACTTCATTGAACAATCATTACAATTGTGAAATAATTTAATGCCTATTGCTAAAAAACCTATGTTTATCAATATTTCTTTACTTTGAAGATCAAAGTCAAGAATATCCCATCTGCCTACTGCTACTCATTTACTGATCCACATATAATTACCTTTGATGGCAGGTAACGTCCTGAACTTTTTTTCTTTCAGTGAGTTTTGTTGTTACAGTTTTGCTGTTTTTTTTTTAAATGTCATAATGTTTTATCCTATCTTGGTCTTTATCAATGGTTTATACTTGCCACTGGCTTATTTCTTGATATTAATTGTTCGTGTAGAATATTTTGCCTTAAATGCAGTCCTTGGTTGTGGACAACATGAGCCTTAATTTGTAGAAATGAAGATCATTACAAATGCACATAATTATTTTTGCTTGAATATCTACTTATTTTTAATAATGACTGGATTATTTTCAGCAAGGATATTTACTGTGTTGCATGTTTATATAATATAAAATAGCTTTTGAGGTTAAGAAAAAAGTGATTTATTAGATTTATTGTAAAACTCATCACCCTAATTTGTGCTAAAGATACTCAGGAGAAAATCCAGTTTAACTGCCATGAAAGCCTTTATGTGCTTCTGGAATTTAAGTAAAATGGTCAAAGTAATGACAAAGTAATCAAAATGATCCTGTTTTAACATCTGCCTAGAAAGATTTAAATTCAGTAATGATGTTGTGGAGGATTCACAATGCTAAGATCTAAAGAAGGAAAAAAATATAATTCATCATTCAATGATGAAGAGATATAGAACTCCTTCCACATAATGGCACTCCACAAATTTCAACATTTATTGAAAAGTTGTCAGGACTGATCACTTATTAAAAATCTTTTTTGGGGGGTCATATTTGGAGACTTACAAGCTTTGGTGAAGAATCCTCAAGAAAACATAGTGGTGAAGTATTTACTCTAACTCGAGTCAGTGTTATTAACTGCAAAACAACTAGATGACAAGCCATGTTGTAAGTGTTGAGGGTAAGGCAGAGAATGTAGTGGATGACTGTCTTGCCCTGCTGCTGAGTTTGGATAAGCAGAGAGAAATATAGTCACAATAATAATAATAATAATAATAATAATAAGCAATGCAATTATGATAATAAAAATGGTAATGTGCCAAGAAAAAAAATTAAATAGAATGAAAAGAAAGGGCTACAAGTAGAATTTTCAATTTTTATTAAAAGAGCCTGGTTATAGAAAACCATTAAGTAATGGTCACATTGGACAGATAGTTTAAAGTGAGGAAGACAACCAGGTGCATGCATTCTCAGCAAGTCCACCCTCCTCAGAGAATGAGGCCTACTGGGGAAGATAAAGGGAAGGAGAGAGTCGTTTGAGAGACAGAGGTGTTTACAACTACTTTGTATTAGTCAGTGCTCACAAATAAATCTTCAGTCGTATAACTCTACTAAAAACAATGATTTCTTACTCTCACATCAAAATATATTGACTGTTTATATATTTATTGAAGAACTGTTTTGGTTATACTTTTGACTTTTAATGCAGTTGACATTTTTCATGATAGGGTATATGATAATTTCAAGACTGGAACGTTTGTCCTTTATAAGACTGTGTCCCGTGATTTTGAGGTCCACGTACGTCAGTGGGACTGTGGGAGCCTTTACTATCCTGTGTCATGCAACTGTGGCTTTGTTGCCAAAGAAGAAGGTGATATAGTGACTTTTGATATGTGCAGTGGTCAGTTACATGGATCACAGCCATATTTGTTTGTAAAGAACCAAGATGCATCTAGCAACATCAAGATAACAGAATCCTATTTAGGAAGAAAAGTCACAGTATGTATGACTCTTTATGATTAAAAACAGTTTTCTCTTTCTCATTTTGGATGAACAATAGTCATCCTTATAAATTCGAAACTATAATTTTGTCAATATTTTTTGAAGAAAATGTCACTTAGAAAATAATTGGGGTGAATATGCTGAAAATACATGTGTGTATGAGAATGTTAAAAAAGAAAGACAAAAATGGCATTTAAATTAATTCTCATCTTTAAAGGGAGCTTTTATTTTAACCTGTTATTCAGTAGTGAACACAATATACTTAAAACAACATTGCTAAACTGCCATTTTTAACATTTTATTGCTATAGTTTTATGGATTACACATAAAATTATTTTGGTAATGTCTAACAAATATTGCATTAGGTAGAAATGACCAATAATTAAAACTCAATATGTAAGAATAGCTAAACAATTTTCAAAAGAATACAGTATGTTTCTACTTCAAGACAAAGATAGTAAATATATGGAAGAGATTTAAAAAAAACAGGCAAAAGAACCCAAATTACATATTAATTCATTTTTAAAAGATATTTCATGTTTGAACTATTTGTATTTTAAAATTATGTTCATCTTCTCATCTTTCAAAAGGTAAATTCTTGATAATTATAATTCAAACTCAAGTACAATTAAAATGTGTTATGTTTTATAACATTTATTGAATGACAATTTTTGAATATAATATTATATATTTGAATTTCATCATTGAAAACCAAGATGTGAATCCATAATTGGGAAAACAATTGCTACATGTATAACACAGTGAATATATGGCATTCATACATCTCACATATACAATGAGAACACAATTACAACTCGTGAATAGCATAAAAAGGCACAGGTATCCTGGCATGCCCCTGCTATCCCAGCACCCCAGAAGCCCAGGAAAGGAGACAGTGTGCTCAGGCCAGCCTGGGTTAGAGCAGGACTCTCTCAAGTAAATAGATAAACAAAAATAAAAAGACAATTCAAAAGGAAATAAAACTGATAAATGTCTAGAAGTACCAATGACCAACAAAATACTAAAACAGTAACCTTATTACTCACCAAATCAACAACTAATATATATTAATTGTCTTTCATATAATATTGTAGAGATTAGAGATAGTGAAATATATTATAGTCTTTCTGAAAGACACATATAATCTCAACGTCTGTGTCATTTTACCAAAAGATTTAATACTGGACATATATTGTAATAAAACAATATAGGATGTGCACAGCACCAGTGACAGCCACCTCTTCATGTCAGAGGGAAAGTTGCAGTTAATAAATGGCCATAAGAGTGTTTAACTAAAGCTAAATAAAGTGAGACACATAGTAGAAGACATCATAAGAAAATGATGGAGTGGGTGGATGCTGATTGACAGGCAAAGATACTCATGAAACTCAGACTTACAATGATTTTAGCTATCTTACATTGAGGTAGGCATGTAATGTTTATTTACATTTGAAAAAAATTCTGTAATGAGTGCACATCATATTTATATGGGGAAAAGAAGCACTATTTTTATTTTTAAATTAAAAAGTAAAAAGAGAACAAGAGTGAGAAGGAATAAACACAGGAGGTGTGTCTCCAGTGCTTTTAGGAAAAAACATCCATCCAGGTGGCTGACTTTGGGGATATTACTAAGACCAGGAGCAGTGGCTTGTAGTTAGATGACCCAGAATATTATGGTCATATCACTTACCATTTGCCACCTTCCCAGGCAACCTCTGGTAATAATTTGGCTATTATATTATTTGCATACTGGTAGCAAAAGGGTGGTGATTAACCACAGGGACTTGTACTTTTCTCAAATTATGTATATCAGTGTAAATCAATTACATGGCAATGTCCTTCTATAGTCAAGAGCTATTATGTGACTTGGTAAACATTACCATTTAAAACTGTTTAATCAAATCAGTATCATGCTTTAGTTACTAGGGGAAAAGGTCACAAGCAATTTGTTCCAATGAAAAGCTGAAATGGTGACCAAATTTCAAATCAGCAAAGTATAAAAATGCATTACATTGACATACAATATTAAAAGAACGTTATCATGTAAAAATGGTGTTCCATTCTTTGCATGTATGAAAAATAACTGAGCTTGTATTTTACATCTCTGATAGTACTCTTTTCTTAATCTGTATCGAATAATGTTTCAGTGACTTCTGTCTCCCTGTTGGTTGCTTCTGGTTTCAGATTTGGTTTTCCTCTGGAGCGTTTATCCGTGTAGACCTCAGTGAGTCGGGTATGAGTCTAACACTCAGAGCTCCTAGTTTAGACTACAAAAACACATTGGGACTTTGTGGCACCTTCGATGAAAATCCAGAAAATGATTTCCATGATAAAAATGGCATGAAAATTGATCACAGCTTTAACAATTATGCTGCTTTTATTAATGAATGGAGGTGAGAAATAACTTATTTGTGATTATATTTCTGTAAAACAAGTGGGTGGTGACTCAATATAGTGCTTTATTCACAATATATTACTGGAAAAATGTTCTTGTTCAAAATAATTATTCTTTTATTTCCCACCTGGAAGACTTTTACCGGGAAGAAGCATGTTTGACAGAGTAGCAGCGACTCAGACACCTCCAAGAAAGCCAGTGTATTGTAGCTGCTGGCCAGATACTTTCTCCCAGAATCTGCTTTCCAACCATCTAGACAGTGGTTCTCACTCAGAAGAAGCTATCAGTTGCAGAGACCTCAAGCCCATTCAATTTTCTTTGATACCAGACCTAGATATCACCTCTGAATATATTAATTCAGAAACTCTTGTCAGAAAAATAGACAAGCACACACTCAAGGAAGAAAATAATTTGAATGTCTTACTACAAGCAAAAGCCCATATAAACCTAACTGAACCCAACTCAAATTTACAGCACCTTAGGAATGAGACACAAAATCCACCGAAATATTTGAACAGTGAGAGGCGCACACAGGACCAGAAGACAATGAGGAATCTACAAAACAGATGGAAACAACAAAACTTGAATGACTTTCCTTCTGGGTTTGCTTCCCAAAGTCTTGGCCAAAACAACATGGAAGAGTTCTCTTATTTTTTCCCTGAGGACCACACTGCTGACATCCAGCAAGAGGTTGCCCCATCATGGCCAACAGCCTCTGGCCTCACCGAGTACAGCACTTTGGCACTCTGTCAGCGAACTCTAGTCAACTCCAGCATTGGAAGGCTGTGTCTTCCCTTTCTAGGCAGGAAACTAGACCATGTTATGGACATGTGTGTGAAGGATGTTCTATTAAAGGATGATGTTAGCTGGGCAGAAGCAGGAGTAGCCCTGTTAGAAAACGAATGTGAGAAGGGGATTTTGGAAGAAGGAAAACACAACACAAAAGAGTATAGCAAATCAATAGAAGACATCCTTGAAGTATTAAAATGCCCCAATTTATGCAGCGGCCATGGGCAGTGTATGGACTGGGGGTGTGCGTGTTTCCCAGGCTACAGTTCCTACGACTGCAGTGATTCATATGGTATGCAAATGCACTTAAGCTTTGATATTGTGATACTGCATCTCATTATGCAAATTTCTTTGTTCTTTTTTAATTCTTCAACGTCTTAGTGTTTATTACAACTATATAGTAAGAAGTACATTAACTAGTATTTTAATGACTCCCCCAAAGTGTGTTATGGGAGTTAAACTGAAGTCCTTTAACTGCCCATCAGACACCCTGCTGGGCTGACACGCCTCTTTCTGAACTCGGCCCCTCCCATTGTCACTCTGGTCATTTCCAGCTGCCTTGATGTCTGTCTGCGCTGTTCCTTGAAAATGCCAGGCTTACCCAACCTCAGTGCCTTTTTACCCAATCCATGTTTTTATCTGTAGAGAATAGCTTTTCCTAGAACTCACATCTAGTATATATTTTGTTGCTATGCCAATTACACTAATTTGCTTAAGCTTGGTTTTATTTAGCCCATCTGCATGGTATGAGCTATTTTGTCTCAATTTGTTAAGGAAATTGTGTTTTCAAATTGATTGCAGGGCTGGAGATATGGCTCAGTGGTTGAGAGCACTGGCTGCTCTTGCAGAAGACCTGGGTTCAAATCCTAGCAGCGATAGGGCGACTAACAACAGTCTGTAACTCCAGTTCCAAGAGATCGGCTGCCCTCTTCTGTTCTCAGTGGGCATTGGTGCACTTGCATACATGCAGGCATAACACACATATACATAAAAAATTGAGTTGATTGGCCCCTTTAAGTAATAATCAGAGGCTCCCTTCCTCTCAGCTTTTCTACCATCCTCCCCTGCCTCCTGCTCTTCAGCTACATTGGTTGCTGTGCTCTTTGTCCAAGCCTGCTCTTGCCTCAGGACCTTTGCACTGCTGCTTCCTCTCACTGGAACATTCTTGCACCACACATCTTCAGGACTGATTTCCCTTCTTGTTTCAGATTTTATATTACCACAAAATCTGTTCACAGTCATCCCTGGTATTTTTCTCACTTAGCTCCATAGTCTTTAGCTTCCACCAAAGTCGATACAATTTTCTGTATATTCTTGAAAGCATGTATTGATACATTTTACTTTTTTCCACTTTAAAAAATTTTCTTATCCTTCCATGATAAATGTTAGTTACATGGAGGCAGAAATTTTGTTTGGCTCATTCCTATGCATCATGTAACAACACTACATGTAAACACATTGGTAAATAAGCACGGGCTAAACATATCGGAGGATTAACTAATGCATGCTTTCTGATCTTAAAGATTTTGAGAGTCTTTTTCTGTTCCTACAGCTTATGATTTTGTTCCATAATGCAGTAGTTACATTTGCATAGATTTTACTGTACTTAGGCAGAGGACTGAGCTATTTCACATGCACACATATCCATTTCAACAAGCTAATCTCACTGATGTGGGTAAGATGTGTTCCTGCTAAGACCAGAGCCAGAGAAAGGACCACATGAAGTATGTTAACTCTAAGTGATAAGAGAATGTCTCCCTTTAATGGAGTAGTTTACTCACAATTACAGAGTTTGTGGGGCAGCAAAAAAAGCATAGACAGATTTTGAAAAATCTTTTCAAAGAATTTTTGAACTGTAAACTTATTACACTGATGACTACACTATTTTGTTATAGAAGTACTTTCCTGTAATACATATAGAACAAATAAAATGGCAAAATCAAAATGTATTTGCTGGTAGTAGTAATTTCTTAATACTTGCCCTTAATTGATAACAAATATTATTGAGCCATTGATAGAGCTTGTATATTTAGTTTTTGTCTATAATGACGTTACTGTTACTTTGATGGATGGCAATATGTCTTTGAGTACCAGATTACTCAATGTTTAATCTGATAATTACTATAAATAATATCTTGAGTATACTTTGAAATGTTATTTCACATGTTTTCAGTTTGTGCCTTCAAAATAGTCACACAGGGTTTTTCTGTAATTCAAATCCATGTCCTGTTTGTTATAACTTTCTCCAAAGACAAAGCTCCTGAAATTACAGAACTTGAGAACTATGGCTTCTGTGATACTCAGAAGTTTAACTGTGCCACAGTGAGAGTTTTTGGTCAAGGCTTCAAAGACTCACCTTCCATCACGTGTGAAGTAACTAAACTGCAGGTATGATGAATACAGATTACCTGGCCATGTTTAAAACACCGAGTATATGAGTTATTTAGTTTAATTTTGTCTGTCACCTAGCAACAGGATCCCACAGGGTGCTCTGCTCACAGAGAATCACGGAAAAGTGGCTGAGTTACTGATTTGTAAAAGCTTTTTTATGACCTTTTTAAAGTATATTACATAATTTTAATGTGTAGGGTCACTATTTTCAGTCATGATAAAAAAACTTTATAGAGAATATCAAACTTGGTGTATAGAAGCATTAATATTTCTTTTTAATTGAATTTTTGAGTATTTGATACATAAAATCGTCTTTGTACCTCTTCCTCTTTGGCACCTCCCATAGCCCCCCACTGGAGTTCATACATTCTGTCATTTGTGTTAAGGCCTATTATGTAAAGTTAGTATCCTGAGATGTCCCTCAGTACAAGTTCATCCACTGGGTTTAGTCAAGCTATTTAGACTCTCTCCTTTCAAGAAGATCAGCTCTTCCTTACTCAGCAGTAATCAGCTGGCAATAATTCTTCAACTCAGAATGAGGCTTGCTGTTCATCCTGTGCTGGGTTTTTGTCTGCCTAAGTTTGAAGGGTCTTGTGCATGCTGACACCATTGCTGTAGGTTTGTATGAGAAGGGTCCCAGGTATCTGTAGGACCATTTCTGTATGGTCATACTCCTCCTGCCTGGCTCTTACAATCTGTCTGCCCCCTCTTCTTCACTGGTCCCTGAGCCCTGGGTGGTTGGACCTCAATATAGGAGTCCTGTCCAAGGACCCATACTCTGCAGACTTTTATTCTCTGTGTTTTGGTCATATGTGGCCGTTTGTGTTCCTAGCCCCCTCCATTGCATGAGGGAACCTCATTGGTGAGAATTGAAAGATGCATTAGTGTTCTCTTCATCCCTTGTTCTATGTTCTGTGAGTCTTAGATGTAGAGGTTGCATCCTAAATGTGTTAGTTGTTAACTGCTATGTGGGTGCTGAGAGTTGAACCCAGGTCCTCTACAAGAGCAGGTCAGTGCTCTTAGCCACTGAGCCATCTCTCCACCCCTCCCCTCAAGCTATTATTCTATAAGCATGTAGCTTTCCCTGTCGCACTTCGCGTCTACTCTTGCAGGTCAACTTAAATTCCCCTCACACTAGACCCCATGATGCTTCTCACATCCTTACTTTTCCCCTGCTGGTCTCTCCAGCCATGTTGGCCTGCCCTCTCCCATCTCTGTTTTCAGCATCTGAATAGCAGTACCTTTTTATCCTCCAAGCAGGGGAGTATCTTCCTCTTCAAAAGCCTTCCTTGACTAGGTCAGACTTGGAGCTTTTTTCTTATTATAACTTATTTAAAGCTGTTCTAACAACAACAAAATTATGTATTCTCTGTCTTTTCCTTTGTCATTTCTTTTCATCATATCATCAATACACAATAGACACTCACAAAATATGGGTGAATGAAAAGGAGGTAGAATCATCTTAATTCATCCTTGGGGGTCTACCTTTTCTTAGAGGGGTAGAAATCATATTGCAAGGACCAATTATTAACCATGACTTGTTTCCACAAAGGAAACCAAGTGGTCTTCATCTATCATACATTCCTCAAGTATAGCTATCATGAGAACTTGTGGGCATTCTCATCATTCCTCCTCTCCTAGAAGAAACTACTGATTGATTTGCTATGGCAGACTGCACTCCATAAACCTAGAGATCTGCACTGCAGCTCATGCTGTCAATCAAGTCTTCAACAAGGTAGATTCCACTTCACACATACTGAAATGATGTCTGTTCCTTTTCCTGCTGACCTGCAACACTGAGATATCAGCAGGTCATGTGACCAATGCTGCAAGTTTGAAAAATCATTGTACATTCAAAACGTTTTTTAAAATATAAATCTAGACTTTATCAAAACACATCCTTCTAGTTTTCAATGCAGTAGTCAGAAAAATTACTCAAATAATTATTCTGACATTTCCTCTTCATACACCAAGGCATCTTACAACACTGACAATACCTATAGCATAACTTAAGCATGATATACATACCACTGGTATAAGTAGGTGAACTGTCTAGAATTTTACATTCAAATTACACAACTAACAAGCAAAAATCATATATCTTACTGAGGATCATATATTTCTTATAGAATCAAAAGAATGTACTTGAATTCTCAGGGAAAATTGAAGTTGGGGCTTGGACAGTATGAAGACTTAGTATGTGCACAATTATATATCTGTGTGTCTGTTTTCAGTTTCATTCTTTGTAAGCTTCATTTTTCCATTTAACTATATACTAGTTTTCTCCACATCCTGAAAAACATGGCTACCATAGCTCCATAGCTCTGTATCTTTAAATATAATCCACTAGAGGTAGACGGGCCCAAATCCTCTGACATAAAGGTAAAATTTATCAAGTAATTAAAGCACTGACACAGCTTAGGTATTCCCCTGTACCAGGTCAGATCATATAATAACGTGAGATCCCAGTGGGACTTGAGTAGACACTGGAAAGGTGTTCCATAGAGAGTGGGGAAATTTGCAGAAGTCTTCCATAAAAATTTGACTACCATGTGACACCTATGTAGACAAGTGCTTTTCCTCTTACTCTAAAAGTGCATTGTTTAATGATTAATTATACCTGCAAATATTGATAACTTCTTTGATTTGAACCTCTCAATAATATTAGAAGTAGAGTTTTTTTAAAATCGAATTAAGATGTGTTTTTTTTTCCATTATTCTGAGTAAAACTCACTTTCAATGTGACTTTTGTTTCCTAATTATATATTCCACCACATTAGGCATATATGTAATTTACTAACAAATGTACTTCCACAGTTAAGAAGACATTAATTGCCTTTTCATTATGCGTTCAGTTTAGTGGCAGTAACTGGGTGCTTGGAGAACGTCTGCATGCACAGGCAGTCTTTCAAAATAGCAGAATTGTTGATTGTCAGCTACCCACCAATGACCAACAGTCTAATACCATGGGTCTAATGGGTGAGAAACCATTTTCAAAGTGGCAACTGAAGGTAAGAAATTAAAGAAGCATCTCATTTATAAATAAAGTTATATAAAATTTGTAAGGAATTGATGAGGCAACATTTGAAACAAATTATAATTGTTCTTACAGGTATCTAATGATGGGTTTACATTTAGTAATTCCAAAATAATGATCATATATGATGGAGCTTGTCAAGTTTGTGGCCCATATGAAAATGATACATGCACTGTAAAGGTATGTATCCTCTCACTTATTTTCACATTATATCCTGCACATTCTCACATCCACATCCTTAGCCTATTAGTTGTACTTTTTCCAAGCTTACATTTGAATGATATGGAGAAAAATTTTACCTCACATTTGTATTAGTCTAAATAAAATTAATAATTCTTCCATAACTCTTGTTGAAGTGATAGGGAAGAGGTTTCTTCTTGTAACATTTTGAAGTGGCAAAGTATTTCTTCCTGAAACATCAAAGGAGGATCCAGATGTGGTAGTGCATTCCTGTAATTCAATTACTTAGCAAGTAAGGACAAGAGGATCAGAAGTTCAAAGGCGTCCCATTTTGGAGGACAGTCTGAGGTACATGAGAGCCTGAATCAACTTCCCTCCACCTCGCAAAGAAAAAGAAATCAAAGAAGGAAGTTCAGACCATTCACTTATACAGTCCTGCATACACTTTTTCCTCAGTAGTAATGATGGTTTTCCGGAAAGATATGCTTTTACGGTTACCTAGTTCCATTTTGGAAAATGGTATCTATTTGACTAGTGTTTATAAAATATGTCTAATGCTTTCACAAGACATGTTGTTGTTTTTATTTGTTTTCTGATTTTAATTTTTTGGCAAGTTCATTTTTTACACACCTACTCACCTCTTTATGGGTTACAGAACAATTGCAGAACTTAAACTGAGTTCTATAGCCGAGACTACTTTTCTGTCCTTAATCGTTCCACTGGGTTATTTAGAGAGTTCTCCACACCTGCAAATTGCTGACTTGAAAAATACCATTGACCCAATACCACTAGACTCTTCAAAATCAAAGAATATAAAACTAATATTTACTCATAGGAAAATAATTTTGTAAAAAAATTAATTCATGTATTGAGATCAATCACCAGACTATATCAACAAGAAATTTTCCTTGTTAAGAAATTACTTTTTTGAGATTTAGTTTTTATTTTCTCTCAAATATTTTGTTAGAGAGAAGTGTTCAAAAGTACTTTAAAATGAAGGTATTCAAGATTGATTGATCCTCTCAGGCTGTTCGTTCTATTTCTGTGCAGTGTTGTACAGGCCATCAAAGGAGATTCTTGTAAAGTGAGTGAAGTTTTCAAATATAATGCGAATCTTCTGAGTAAAATGTGATCTTCCTCCAAAGTGAAACATGGTGTTGTGTTTCACATGCTTTCTCCTTGTAGCAGCATCACGTTCACGTATTTCCACTATGCAGTCTGGATAATTACGCCGTGGATCTACTCTAGTTTGCAAAATTCACAAGAGGTTAGGCTACAAAGTACAAAGAAGATAGCTGTCTGCAAATTAATGTTATTATTTAAAATGTATGGGGAAAAGCCATGTTTAGATTTTTGTGAATAAAGCACTCTGAAGATGAGTGTAACAAGCACAAATGGAGGTTACACTCCCTGTTACTCATAAGCTGTAAGTTTTAATATTGCATCATTTGCATGTATTTTATTCCTTCAAATTGATCAGTTCTATAGCTAGTTATATAAAATGAATAATTTGTTTTCTAAGATGCATTTATACTGAGTTTATGAAAAATATTTCCTAATCAAAATGTGTGTTTTGTGATCTTTCTTTCTATGTACTATTTATATCTATTAGGTATGGATTTTCTTACTGACCATTTCTTTATTTTAAATTTCCTTTAGGAAAATGTTTGTGTTATTGATAGACTCTGCTACACTGAAGGAGCTAAAAATCCTACCAGTCCTTGTTTGATTTGTAGACCCCAAATCTCAAATTTTACTTGGTCATCTTTAGAAAGTAAGTTAATCTTTATTAATTTGATCATTTCTTTTTTTAAAATTTTACTGAACTTTTGTACATTTTATACAACAGTTCTTAATCAAATTTAGACCCCCTCCCCACCACCAGACCTTATGCATTCTGCCTTACATGCTAAGTCTTATCCTGTCAAGCATTTGTACCCAGATGTTCTTTGATGCACATTCATCCACTGGAGTCTAGTCAGCCTACCTAGAGATCATAAGTAAGGTCTACTCTTCCTCACCCAGTAGTAACCAGTCTCCAACAGTTCCCAGATTAGGGCCTGCCTGCTGTCCATTTTCCTTGCTCCACTCTGGGCCCTTGTCTGATTGAGTTGGCATGGGTCTTGTTCTCAATATCACCATTACCACGAGTACACATGTGCAAGCTTCCAGTGACCTGAAAGACTCTACTTCCCTATGTTCATGGACCAACCCTGGCTCTTACAATCTTTATGCCCCTTTTTCCACAATGGTCCTTTGAGTGAGGTTTAGTATAGTAGTCCTATCCGGGGATACATATTCTGCAGTCTCTTATTCTCTAAAACTTGGTCAGTTGTGGTCTGTTTGCATCATTCTGTTGTATAAGGAAGCTTCGCTGATGAGAGTCGAAGGATGGACTAGTTTTCTCTCTACCCCTGATCTGCTGTGTTCCATGAGCCTTAGGTTCCACTGTAGATATGTCACCTAGGACTAGACATCTCTCAGATGTATATTCTCTGTATGACCAGTTGTGGAACTCTATAGTAGTCTCCATCTGTTGCAAACAGAATCTTCTTTGATGAGTATACAAAGGTTTAAAAGTGATCTTAAACCACAACTTACATTAGTATGTTTAAGATGGAGGAACAATGTTTTAACTTAGCCTCTCTTGTAACTACATAATTTACTTTGTTGTCAACAAAAAAAGAAGAGAGGATATTTTTATACAGTCCTGTGCACTTAATAATAGCATTTTGGTCAGTAAGTGGCTTCATAGATGCTTATATCTCCTAGTGATGTCACAGCTTAGACTCCACAATGATGCAATAACAAAACTACCTAACAAGGCATTTCTCTGAACTTATCACAGTGTTAATTTATGTATGACTGTATGTAATTTATAGCATCATACTTTACTAGGTTTTAAGATATGTATTTTAATATTTAATAATGAAGGAAAATTTGAATTGCTAATGGAAAAAATGAGCATTTTAATTGTTACATATCATTTATATTCCTTACCTCTGTGCTGTTTTATGACAAAGAATTTAATCTTTTCAGCTCCAAAGGGCTTGATTAATCATTTATTAAATAAGATATCTGGACTTAGTAATCTATATTGTACCTTCCTTTATTCCATCCAAATGATACCTCAAATTGTGGCCATAGACAACAGTTCTTTACTTCCCCAAGCACAGCTATAATTCCATGTGTGCCCAAGTTCTCTACTTGTGGTGATCATGCATTATTACATACAATAAGACATGATTATTCTCTGAACCTATATAATTTTCTCTAAGAGTAATAAATGCTTAATACTTAGACTGTGTTTTATGATATATGTGTCACTGTGTATGTGAATTCTACTACTGTTAGCTAATAGACCATATTCAATGCTTAGGCATAAGACTTATGGAATCTTATTCAAGGAAACAAAATTCTGAGGGAAATAAATCAGAGAAAGAGGAATGTAATGTAAGGAAAACAAAAACTACCTTCTGAAGTGGTGTCTATATCTTTTAATGGCTGTGGCATGACTGGTTCATGGAAGAGCCATAGTGTTCAAAACTGTGAGAGGCCCGAAAATATCTCCCTTTGTGTTGAGGATGGAGAAATTAAGATCAATAGTTACAATAGTTACAATAGTGAGACAGAATGGGAGCTGGATCTGGGGTGGCTTGGAGTGAGTGCTTCATGTATGCATGAAATGTGCATGTGACTAATATACTGTGAAGTTGGTTCTCTTAATTCTGTTTAGATAAGAGGCAAGGAAAAATAGACATTTAAAAATATAAAACAGTTAAAAAGATATTTTAGATTGTTTTTTTTGAGCATAAAGGAACTATACCTACCCTATACCACTTCACAAGAGTGTGATCTTGGCCACCAGAAGGATCTTAGTTTAGAGGAACAGGAGGTTGTTATGATTATTGGCTCTCAACTATTTCAGCTGCGGAGTAAGTACAGTGTAGAAAGCTTTGGAAGTTAGATGAGGGGCATGGTCACACAGAAAGTAAAGGGAGGTGAGGTTGAAAGAGAATGTGTGTGTATGGAGAGAGAGAGAGAGAGAGAGAGAGAGAGAGAGAGGGAGAGAGAGAGAGAAAGCAAGACGGGGAGAGGAAGCACGAGGCACAGAGAGAGAGAGAGAGAGAGAGAGAGAGAGAGAGAGAGAGAGAAAGCGAGAGAGAGAGAGAAAGCACTAGGGCCACCCAAGCAGTGAAGTGATCAGCACAAAGTCACTTAAAACAGAAGAGGAGGGCTTCCAACCTGGGCTGTGCGAATTCATTTACGTGTTTTATGTGGTATTCAGTGTTCAGAGCCTTGCATAGCAAAGCTGAGACCTGCAATTGCCAATTACTTTTCCATTCACTTAGAATGGAAGTAAATTTATTCAGAAGACATTCAAGCAGGTAATAGAACTTTAAGCAGAGTTCAGTTTATCAGAAGCCTTTCCTATGGGAACATTCAGAATTATACTTTTTTTCTATTTCTACATAGGTATAAGGTTAAATGCTTTCTCTGTTACAGGTAACCAGCCCCCTGTGATTCAAACATTGCAAGACAAATTACAGGCATTTTATGGGGAAAACTTTGAATACCAGTTCATGGCCGTTGATCCAGAAGGTTCTAAGGTCCATTTTACACTGGATTCTGGTCCTGAAGGAGCAAGTGTTTCCTCTGAAGGACTTCTTACATGGAAATCGGAGTCACAAATTGCCCAGAGATTCAATCTACGCCTTAAGGATGATTGTGAGGCTGAAACTACAGTCACAGTTGAGGTCATAGTTATAGTTAAATAAATGTCACTGGATCTTTTAAAAATACAGCTAACATGTTTAAATCTAGGAATAAAAAATATACTTAATATCATAGAGCAATAAAGTTATTATATGTTGCATGTTTGACTGTTGCTTATAAAATCATAGAACCTTAGAGATACTCTGAAGTGCGGAAACATGGATCTAAATTGACAACTGACGTGATATTCTGTACCTGACTGACAAGGATGAAGAGCTCACTCATTTCATCACCATGGAAGTCCCGTGACTAAAATAAGATTGATAATTATACCATTTCCTTTCAAATGAATCTCAGATGCTGAATTAGAACTCATGACTATAGATAGAAGTTTTGAAGGAATTAATTGACCACTTTCTTTTATTTTTTATTTTTTTTAGTATGTCAATCATGAAACTTCAGTTCTTATTAACTCTTTTTGTGCCCTATATGTTTACTTGAATTTTGGCACACACACTTTCACACAGATATACTGTGATGAAAGGTACTTCTATTCTGTCGTTTTAACCTAGTAGTTGAAGTTATTGTTTGCTTTCTATATTTATGGCTAACATAGGTGGCTAACTAGTGGCTTCCATGTAGTCAATTTTATTACCTAGTATTTTGATTGCACGATAGGAACTGATCATCTTGTTCACTGGGTATGATGTTATAGGCTTATGAAGGCAGTACTTGGGAAGCTGAGGAAGAATTGTAAGTTCAAGGCCAGTCTGAACTAAATAGAAAAAAGATCTATTTAAAAAATAAATAAATAGAAATTCACCAACTTAAGACATTGCTAAAAATACTCTCCTAGCATATTTATTTTGGCTTTGCTCTTAAGAGTGAACATAAATGCCATTATCTTAACCACCATTTTATAAACAAAAGATGTATTTTGCAAAGATACCAGATTTGATCATACATGGACTTAAGCACACATGTCTGCCATGATTTCTGGGACATGAACTAAATATGATTATAGTAAAAAAAAAACATTTCTTTGTTTTCTTTTGTAGGTGACTGTGAAGTCTTGTGACTGCTTGAATGGTGGATCCTGTGTGTATGATAGGACATTCCCTCCAGGAAGTGGAGCATACCTCTGTGTCTGTTTGCCTGGCTTCCATGGTGGTCTTTGTGAAGGAGATACTAGTGGGTGCCAGTCAAACCCTTGTGGCCTTGGAAAATGCATTGGAGGCTTACACAATTACTCCTGTGACTGTCCTCCTGCACTCAAAGGTAATTTGGGGTTTTTCATGAAATGAATAAGACTGTGAACATATTAGGAGGGAAAGTTCCTTGGAATTCTCATTTGTGGAATGAGTTGATTCTACATTCTGAAGATTTTATTTTATTTAGTTTTCAAAATATATTTCCTGTATTATTTTTTTGTGTATGAGTGTATTGTCTGCATGTATGTAACTGCACCCATGTTGTACAATGCCAGCAGAGGTCAGAAGAGGGCATCAGATTCTCTCAAAGTGGAATTATGGATAGTTGTTAGCTGCCATATGGGTGCTGGGAATTGAGCCTGGGTCTTCTGCCAAACAGGCAGTGCTCTTAACTGCTGAGCCATCTTCCAGCTCCAATATAAACATCTGGTTATTTTTTATCTTCTGATTATTTTTTGCATTATAAATTGCTTTCACACACTCTTGCAATTTCCCCCATTTTTATAATTCTGACAGCAATCAAGGAAACTAAGTTGCAGGTTTCCAAGCATTTCTACATCTATTCACCAGGTAAAGAGACATTTAAGCATATTGATATTGAAATGTAACATTGAATAACAGAAATTATGTCAGGGAAAATATAAATCTTATCATTTTAGAAATGCTGTGTTGATAATTCACTAACTTAGAAATATTGTGGCTTAAATTAAAGTTGGAACCAATTGAAATATCAACAGGTTAACTACTTGTCCTAAGATGTCTAATTCTAGAAATATGCATAAGACAAACAGCATTAATTTTTCAAGTCTTCAAAAAGTCTCATATGACTATTTTTCTGTTATATATATGTAAATATTAGGTAAATATGCAGTTATTTAACTGGATTTTCTGAAAAGCATCTATTTTCACATAGATCAACAAAATGATATTTACTTGTATTAATTTTCTTTATCATTTCAAAATGACCTTTATCACTTAGACATATGAATATGGCTATCTCTTTGGTCCTGTGTTGCAGACTATATTTGAAAAATATTCATATATTGATTACTTAGTGGTTATGTGTATAATAAGGGCTATTATCCATTCATGGTATGAATTTATTCATTCCAGTAAGTTGTTAAATGGGTAAAATTTTATAATACTATAAAAGTAAAATTTTATAATACTATAAGTTTTTACCTCAAATGTTAATATTTTTTAAACAGAATCTATGTAGCCTAGGATGAGTGCCCTAGCACTGGGGTTATACTTGGCCATCATCATGCCTACCTGTATTAATGAGTTTCTAAGTCATCTTATTTATAGTGAAAAAAACCCTTATGCATGAAAATGTATAACATGCAAAGAAATCTAATTACTGATTTTCTATTTGATTTTATAGAGATTTTAAAAAATAATAATTTTATTACTTCTATAGATGTTCAGAGGTAATAAGTAAAGAGAAGGAAAAACTAAGTGTGATAGCTTGAGTTTGCAATCCTAGAGCTCAAGAGGCTGAGGCAAAAGGAATATGAACTCTAGGTTAACCTGAGCTACATATCTAGTTCCAGACCAGCCTGGTCTACAAATTAAGACCCTGTCTGAAAATTCAACTGAATAAGACAAGAGTAAAAGGAACCAAATAATCAAATGTTAGATATATAGTATATTTCAAACTAAATAATCCAAACTCTTAATCTACATTTCCTATAGGCAACAACTGTGAGGAAGATGTTGATGAGTGTGAATCCTGGCCTTGCTCTCCAGGAGTGGAGTGCCTCAATACCTTTGGCTCCTATGGTTGTGGCTCATGTCCAAAAGGATTTCATGGTGATGGGAAAATATGTCATGGTAAAAGCCTCTACTTGGTATTTTGTTTTGTGTGGCATGTAACTAATTCAGGTCACCCAGTTGCATTCTTTTTTATGCATATATATTCCTTCAGTTTCTTCCTAAATATAATATGTAAGTAGATGCACAGGATACCAAAATACATCATGTGTGCCCTATGACTAAATAGGTTAGCACGTGATAGTAAGAAATATGATTAGTAGCCCCACAGTGCCAATAAAAAGTGTTCTGTGTCTTTTGAAAAAAATTACCTAGAAGGACATTTAAGAATACCTCACAGAGCATCATCAACCCTTAAAAGGAATGGATTCAGTTTAGATAGATATTGAGAAGACTATACAATATCCACATGAAGGTCAAGAGAGCGGACCAAGTTAAAGATGAAACTCTTACGGTTATTACCCAGGGAGAACAGAAGTTTTATAGGAGAGGGGACAAAAGAAAGGGAGGGACATCAATATTTTTAAATTAAATTATAAAAGACAATGTTAAAGAGCTATGTGTTTGATGAAGTTAAGTGAAAAAGATCCTATTTGGATGTGAAATTGGTATTTATGGTGTAATTATCACCCTGTGCTTCAAATTGGGACGGGCCTATCTCTGCAGGTAACAAGTGTGAGGGAGCCCGTGCCAACCTCACATTTGTCTTCTGGAAGACTGATATATTTATCCTTCAAATATTTTTACTTTTAGAAAGATAACCTCAGAATTATAGAATGAAGCACAATATTTGTTCTTTTCCTTGCTGATCTACTGAATTCTCAGGCTTACATATAGAAACATAAGCAAAGGAAAATTTAGAGAAACTTGTTAATTATTACTTGTTAGCCTTTATACTCATTAACATTCTGTGTTCCCTTGTGTTTCCAAGATTATCTGGAAGGCAAAGTAAGGCACCATGACTTTTGGTTTCTTTATGATTGCTGTTATTACATGTTGTAGACACTAAATAGAATGAATGACTTGGCAGAAAACTATGGGTAGAGCAGAACATTAATAACTGTTATTGACTAATATTTTTATTTATGTTTTGGTTGTTCAGATTTGAACTTTCAACCACTATCAACAGAGGATTTACTAACAAGTACAAACTTCACCCACAGTCCTATGACCACTATCAAAGAGTTCATAAACACACTGAGCATTGCCCACTTACCACTGAACTCTGTTACAACTCCAATATATAATACAAAGAAGGGTGTTTCTCATCTGATATCAGCTTATGAGTATGTGGATGGTGTTCTCGATACAAATCTTTCATTGGATGAGATGGAAATTCCTGCAAACAATGGTAGCTCTTTAAGCATTAATCAAAACAGTTCTCATGGTGAAGTAGAAGATGCAATCCAGAGCAGTGCCCAAACAGAGACAGGGGTGCATAATGCTCCAGTTAACATGACTTTCCAAAGTTTTACTCAGCATGGGTTTACGCCATTGACTACTAAAGCAATCACTATTTTACCAGAAAAGTTTGAATCAGCCAAAATCTCAAATTGCACTGAATCTTCTTGTTTCCTGGGTGTTTCCTGTGTACCAGCCTCAGATGGCTACTTCAAATGTGGACGCTGCCCCTTTGGTTATTATGGAGATGGTATCAATTGCAGAGGTACTGTGAAAATTTTTCAGAACATATAAAGAAAACTACATCATACTCAAGTTTTTGTAACTAAGACGTTATCATTTTCTCTAATGATTTCTATTCATTCTAGTTTAATATATTTTGAAAAAAAGTTGGTTTCCTGAATTGCCTTTAAAATTATTGTTAATATTGTATACTATCATTACTATTTAATATATTATAGATAATAATATATTAAATACATGCTGTATTCCAGGTTCCATAGGAGCATTCTGTATCAAGCAGCATATAATCTACAGCAACCACACATTGTGTACTACTTTTCCCATTGTACAGATGAGGGAGCAGAGATGTGAGGGCTTGGATGTATTTTTATTAAGTAGCTAAAGAGATAAACACATATGTGAATACAGACATTATTAGTATTGTGGCCAAGATTCATTTCAGCCTATAGTAGTCACTTTGTATTTCAAATGATTAATTCTGGCATACTTCCTTATTTGCATAAATGGAGTTTCTCTGTTTTGTATTCAAGCAAGCTTTGTATCATTTTAATTTTACAAGTATTATCTACATGCTTATGTGGTATAGTCATTGTTTTGTTCAATGGAAATCAAAACTTTGGCAGTGGCAATGAAGAAACTATTTTTCTTTTCATTGTTACTATTACTGTTACTTGCTTTGTTACTGTTTTGTTTGGTATGAGACTAAAATTAAGCAAAAGAGGCACTGGGCATATCCCTATGTTCTCGGTATTACCTAAAGGAGCTCTTTCTTTATATCTGTTAGAAGAGGAATAGCAAATTGCAACACGTACATGTTTATAATATAAAAGTTCTCATTGCTGACAAATTAAACAAAGGCATCTCATGTACTTTGGTTACCATGGGAAGTATTAGATGCCCAGTAGAATACAATAGGTGGTTGGAGACCCTCAGGAATACAACCATATCATCTTTTGAAGTGCTCCTGGACTCCTACTCTTTGGGATTCTGATTTTCACTGGCATTCATCAATATTTAGCTGTACAGCATCTGAAACGCCATTGCTCTCCAAAAAATGACTTTATGTCTAGCTGATTCATTCTGTGCTCGGCACTGCTACTGAAATAATTCCCCCACACAATAATTTTTACTCTAGCAATTATTTTTTTCATCTTGTGTGTAAATATAGTAGTTGTGGTTTAACACTTTATTGAAATATTCACATTAGAAAACATTAGAAACTTTTACATTTTAATGTATATCTTTATTCAGTTTTCGTATAATTAATATAGTAGATCTTAATCAAATTTAGAACTCCTCCCCATCTGTGCTCTTTCACAGCCCCCTTCACTAGATTTCATGCATTCTGTCATATATATTAAGGCCTATTCATTCAAGAATTTGTACCCAGATGTCCCTCAGTGCAAGTTCATCCACTATGAAAGTTAGTCTTCAAGGGGGAGGCTTCCAGGTCAGTTCCATCTCCATTCCTCTACCCTGTGTCCAAAGTTTGTCCTGCCTTCCGCAATAGGGTCTTACTTTCAAGTTCTGGGAGTTAATCAAGGGCAATAGTCTGTGTTATATTTGGAGTGTCTTGGACTAACTACCCTGACCAACAACTCAAAGGGAGGTTTTTCCTATCTTTCACCAAGTTTCTTGTTATACAGACTTCAGGTATATACATGCACTCATGTTCAGATAGTGTATGTGTGTTTTTCAGGGGATTTAAATAATTTTAGTATAACTAAATCTGTGGGCGACATGTATAATATAGTAACAGTTCAGCCATTTTTCCTTGATTTTTTTGCAGCCATCTGTAGACATTCATGTGGGAAAAACAGGGAGTGTGTTGCTCCAAACATATGCAAATGTAAACCTGGTTACACTGGTTCTAACTGCCAAACTGGTAGGTACATACTTCATTAGTTTGCATAATAAATTTTATATGATAATTGATGTTTCTAAATCACGGACTTCATTCCTATATAGCTAACTGCCACCCTGCTTGCGAAAACCATGGGAAATGCATTAAGCCTAATATCTGTGAATGCCTGCCAGGGCACGGTGGAGCAGCCTGCGACAAAGGTGACAATTCCAACTAAAATCTCAAATATGAGACTAAATGACACCTCATTTCCTTGAAAATGTTTTAAAATCTATTTTTAATGTGTATGTACTAATAAGTATTCACCAATGCCAGTCCAAGAGCCTTTCAAATACTCACTAAAATCATTCATTTTGGAATTTTAAGCATTTAAACTTCCGAACTCGGAAGTACATAGAGTAATAGCTTGTCTCTGGCAAAATTATCTCCCAAAATAAATTTTGAGATTTATATATAAGGTAACACAGCCCTCAAAATATATTGGTCAAAGATAATTATTAAATGAATTTTCGAAGATGATTTAAAGGAACTGTTAAGAGTAAAGTTGAGGGTATGAGGTTTCGAGAAGAAACCTAAAACTCGATTTTAAATATTTTTTAAAGTTTTATTTATTTGTATGTGTATAAGTATTTTACATAAGTGCACCCGTGTCATGCATTGCCTGATGAGCCCAGAAGAGGGCATCGGATGCCCTGGAACTAGAGTTGCTGACCATTAGCCACCATGTAGGTGCTGGGAACTGAACCTGGGTCCTCTGCAAGAGCAGTCGGTGCTCTTAACTTCTGAGTCATTTCTCCAGTCCCAAAATTTATTTTGAAATACATCTGCAGCCATGTAAAGTGTATGATTTAGGCCAAAATATTAAGTGGCAAATCTACAGAACAGCATTCTGAAAGCAGATGCTATTTTAAGAAATGAATTTTTGTTATTTTTAAATAGCTTTTTTAAAGAATGTAATTTAGTAGATGATCCACGCAATTACGAATGAGATGAGAATCCTGTTAAACGTTTTAATGACAAAAAAATCTACAAACTAACACAGTGAATTTGGAACGGACTAACAGAAGCCTCCAATACTAATTGCAACTGAACATAATTATGGGGATATAGAAGTATTCTATTTGTAAGGCAGGAATTCATAAGTCCCAGTTGACATTTTAGAGGAAACCTAAGGTCATATATTTCCACCTAATTAACCAAAGTATATTAAATTTTTTTGTTGAATTTTTGAGATTCTCATACAATATAATTTGATGGTGTTTCGTTCTCCTCCCCTAGTCCCACCTCTCCCTACTGCCTCCCCGACTCAATGTAACATGCTCTTATATATATTATACTTAGTATATATAATAAAGCCTATAAAGTCTGTTTTGTGCCTCCAAATGTCCTTCAGTGGGCATCCATTCACTGTAGCTTGGTTAACCTACCAAGAGTTCCATTCCCATAAGAGACTGTCTTTTCCCCTCCCAGCAGCCATCACTTGGCAAAAGTTCCTTAGACTGAGTTGGATTTCTTACCCACTTTCCTATGTCTATCCTGTACTTCCCCATGTCTGTGCTGAGATTTTATCTAGCTTGAGCTTACATGGGACTTGTGCATACTGTCACCATTGCTGTGAATTAGTATGAGTAACTGACCAGCTGTCTGGAAAACTCTGTTTCCTTGTGGTCATCTATCTCTGGATCTTACAATCTCTCCACCCCTATCTCCCCAATGATCCTTGACGCTTGGGAAGCAGTTGCCAAAGTTTTTAGAAACCTTCTGCACACGTACTTGCATTTCTCTAGTTTTCTTTAAAAATAAAAATATGGTACAGATTGGTGAATTCATATAGCAGATCCCACAGAAAAGTAACTGCATAGTAAGTGAGAACTAAATTTATTCGAAATTATTCTTGTAGTAGGGTTGTATTGTGACCATGCTTCATATATTTATATGCACTGATTATTGAGACCTGACTTAATAATGTTACCTGTATCTGCAGAGCATTGTAAACCTCCTTGCCAACATGGTGGCACGTGCTTGCCTGGCAATCTCTGTACTTGTGCTTATGGCTTTGTAGGACCAAGGTGTGAAACATGTAAGTCTCTCATAGTCTGATATATTGAACTTCTCCTTTGGTGAGCTTATGGCTTTAATGTTAAGTGAAATTAATCCAAACCCTAACTAAAGATGATGCACTGAAGGAATTATGGGTTACCAGAATCAAGGTTAAGAAGTGTGGATAGGTGTAGTAGCTGTAATCCATGGACTTGGGAGTCCAAGAGAGAAGAATCATGAGTTCAAGGGTATCTTGGGCTACGCAGTGAAACCCTTGTCTCAAAAATAAAAGATAAAGAAATTGGTTCTGAAAGATTGTAATAATCCTATTTGTGTCTTTGTCTTTGAAATATTAGAAATTCAAATTTGTTAGTTTGCATATTTCATTTAATCTCTGCATATGTTCAACAGTAAACTAATAATTTTCCCCAAACAGCCAACTTTTGTTCAGCACAATCATTTCCTACTTTCTCCATCTCTATCAGCAAGAAAATAGCTGAACATGAGAACTGGAGAATATCTAAATCCAGAGGATGAGTTATGCCTGATCTTTTTCTCTGGCCTAATTCATTAATAGAGGTATTTGGCAGTTGTGAGCTAATGAGGTAGTAGCCACAATATGACCATGGCAATCTCAGTTTGTCTTTATGTTTGTTCTGTGTTCTTAGTGATCTGTAACAGGCACTGTGAAAATGGAGGAGAATGTCTTGCACCAGATGTTTGCCAGTGCAAGCCTGGCTGGTATGGACCCACGTGTAGCACAGGTAAAGTCAGAACTGTTTGCAATAAACACATCAATGAAAAAAAAAAGCCTGAAAAGTGCCAGTGTCCTAAAGCCTTGCATACCAGAAACAAAGCAGATCGGACAGGGCAGATATGAAGCGGTTATGTGTGCTTCTTCACATTCTTATCTTTCATCTTCACTTTTTTTTCTGCTTTTCTTGAACCTACAGTGTCTTACAACATTCTATGTCATCCAATCGGTATGTTTTTATCTTTATGTTTCCACCATTAACTCACCTGCTGTGGACTCAGAGCTCCTGTGTTTCATTTTCTTCGTTTAAAGTTTTATTTTTCAATCACAGCATAGACATTTTACTTGTTAAGCATCTGTTCATTCTCGGCGTTAGGCAGACGCCTGTCATGTTAATCCATTTATTTGTCATAGTGTCAAGCTTGCTTCTTGGGTAGCAATGTTTGCAGTTCTTTGTGTTTAATTTAATTTTCTGTGATCTAACGACTTTTCTCAATGAAAATTTAATTCAATATTTATAATGTGCCAACTATATGTGAAGTGTGTCACAAAGGGAAATAAAGGTACTTGTCCTTACTTCAAGTATCATAAAATTAGTGAAAGAGACATGGAATATAATTACTTCTTTATAAAAGACTATGAAGCATGCTGGTTTAGGATAAGAATCATAAATTAGTCACAAATTACTGGAAGCCAAGACATTAACTATCTCTAGCAATTTGAATTTGGAAGAAAATAATATTTGTAATAGGTGTTGGGTATTGAATAAAATCTAGGCAGAAAATAGAATCGGAGGTACTTTCAAAGCAAAACAAAAGGTGATGAAGTATCAGCCATGCACTTGCACACATAAAAGCTTCAGTGATGTGTTCCGATTTCATTTGGGAAAGAGGCAAAGCTGTACAAATAGCCACATGTATTTGTTAGTGTCCTTGAGTTGAATTGCCTTTTCTTAACTTAGTTATTACCAAGGACACACTGAATGCTAATCATTCACACTACACATTCTTACCTTAATATAATGAACATACTTTCAAAGCAATTACAGAGTATTTTGCTTCCCTCCTTTTTGGTAAAATCTGATGCACTATTTGCTATTTTTACTGTAGTAAAAACACTTCATTGTGCTTCATTTTGTACTTCTGGACCATGTTCAGCTTTAAAATAATAGCACTTTTTAAATCTCTTCCTCTTCTGCTGTTCACTAGCTTTGTGTGATCCTGTTTGCCTCAACGGTGGATCCTGTTATAAGCCAAACACTTGCCTCTGCCCTGATGGATTCTTTGGTGCACAGTGTCAGAATGGTAATTATTCCTTCTTTATAAGTAAAAAAGGAAAGAGGAAAATTAGGAGTACAAAATGGAAAGTCAGCATTTCTGTTTATTCAGCTTATGTTAGATTTTCAGCTTTGGCATTTGTGCAGTTTTGTAGGATCAAGATGTGAAATGAAAATGTGACATTCTCTTCCAGTTTGTAATGGAATAGATGTATTTTTTGTTGCTTTCAATGCAAAAAATCTTTCACACATGTTTGACCTACTATCTCACATCTTCCCGTGATCTTTCTTGACTTTAGTTTCACTAAGCATTTGTGAACTGTCATCTATGCACAATTCTATGCAAGATGATGTAGAGACGTAAAGATCATTATTCTCCTTTTTTAGATCACTTTTAGCATTTTCCTCCATATAGTTAATGCTTCAGTGTTATCAGTTAATCTGATAGTAACATTTCAAGCTTGAGCAAGTAGGCAAAAACTAATGTCATTAAATTTATGTTTTCTGAATCTTCAGTTTTTGAATTTTACCATATGTAGTTCTTTTAACATGTCAGAACGTCTTCAGAATTTAATTAATAAAATTAATACCTTTTATAATGCAGTTCAATTTATAATTATATCCTTTGTTGGGCAGTTGGTTGAGATTCTTAGGAGAAAACTGAAGTAAAGAAGAAAGTATCACTCAAATACATGGGAGATGGATATAAGGAATGAGCATCTCTAATTCAGAGTCCCTCTTAGTAACCGGCTTGTGAAATGGAAAGAGGACCAAGTTAGTGAAAAGCATAGAAACTAAGAGATTATGGCAAAATCTATGACAAAGAGTTAGAAATGAAGTTTTGAGAAGAGAAAGTCAAAGGCAAATGACAAGCTGCCATCTGCCATGTCACTTGCTGTAGGTATAGAGCATGCTCCTCCCCAAAATGTCTGTCAACACTGGATTCAAGAGAGAATCTTTAAAATATTAAATTGAACTAAAGCTTGCTGAGTGAACTTGTACCTTGTTTTACAGGCCTGAGGAATAGCTTGTTCTAAGAAGAGAGCAGGCTTGGGAACTGGCTAGTCGCAATAAAGTAGGCATAGGATTTGGAAGTCTCCTGTAAGTCTATTGTAAGGGTTCAGGCTTCCTGGCTTTCATGCTTGATCAAGACTCTATTAGATCATATCACCTTGTGAGCTCGTATACATGTTTATATATATATATATGTATGTATGTATATAGTTATCTCTACATTCAAGCTTTTGTGGAAGATTATTAATCATAACAAGATTATCTAGCACAAACAATTTAGAGTTTACTTTTACATTTTTCAAAATTTTTACTTATTTATATTCATTCTTATTTGATGTGTATGAGTATTTTGTCTACATGTGTAAGTGCACTCATGTCATGCAAAGTTCACAAAGGCCATAGAAGGCATAGATCCCCTGGAACTGGAATTATGGACAGTTGTTAGCTGTCATGTGAGTGTTGGGAACCAAACCCAGGTCCTGTGCAAGAGCAGCGAGTGCTCTTAACCACTGAGCCATTTCTCCAGTCTCTGCTTTTACATTTTTAATCATAGCTATTCCTTGTGGTATTTTTTTAACAAAAGGAATATTTTTCCTCAGAGAGAGTCTCTTTCAAAGATGGGACTCTTGGAGTAGGTTATGCAGGCTCCAGTGGCTGGACCTGTGCTGAAGGCCATTTGAGTACACAAATTAAAATCTATAGGGCATATATATATA